TTTATGTTAAATAAAGAGGCCTTGGAAGTCATTTTTTTAAACACAAATTCCAAACACAATTACCATGCATTTCTTTCTCTTTTTTTTTTCCAAAGAGGGAATTATGCATTTTATTTCCCCTTAAACCTGACAGTGAAATGTATATAGCCAGATCCCTTTTAAGTGTCAATTTAAGTTGAACATGAGGGTAAAAATGGAGGCCTGGCTGCATAAAAAGGCAACATCAGTCAGCTGTCTCCATGTGAAATGCAGTGCCACACAATTCTTCTTTTAAGTGTGTAACACAGTTACGTTAGCTAATTCTCAATTGCTGAGAGACTCAAACTTTAAGATATTTCCGATTGTCATAAAATTAAATATTTACTGAAGACAATTGGTGCGGCTGAATAAAACCATATTGTATAGGGTATGACTTGACACTGTTGTAGATATCAGTGCTCTGGTCACAGTCATTGTGTGTTGATTCCCTCACATCAGCATTTTGCAAATCTCCTTAATCATGAAGAAAAATCTCCATTTGTTCTGATTTAGCTGAGCGGAGTGAGAAACTGCTTAGAATGCCTGTGAGCTGATAAATCAATAGTCATGCTCTAAAAATGAAGATGCACATGGGGTTAATTATAATGAAGTCTATTAATCAATTCATCTCAGCAGCAACTGCTGTTGGTAATTTGGGCTAAATGTATTCAAAATGCTCACAAAAATGCTGCAATTAGTGAGACAGCAGCAGTAAATTATTAGCTTTAAATTAGGGGATGTTTGGGTTGTTGCCAGGTTGTGAAGCCATGGCAGTGTCACTAGAATCCCAGTGAGCCTTAAGGAAAGCAAAACAGGTGAGAGAGGCAGAGAGGTTATAGAAGAAAGAAAGGGGATGGCAGAACTGGTGCTTTGCTTTCTACACACGAGCATGAGAAGGGGGGCATTGCTGCCAGATGGGAAGTTGGAGTCAGAGCTCTCTTTGGGGCATGCTGAGCCATTTGGCCTCCATCCAAATGGGCAATTTCACAGCGTAGAAAATATATATATATATAAAAAAAAGCTCACAAACAAAGCAAAACTTAAGCAAAGAAAGGGAAATCTGGATCCGAAAACCATTTCATACACGCCATCTCATCAGCTGAGAGTCCTATGGTGGTTATTATCACCACTGCTGTGCAGCATGGGGTGATTAGCACTGCCGTGTCTAGCGAGGCATGTTATATTTATGCACACAGTTCATGTGGCTGTCGATGCATGAGTTGTGCATGTGGATTGCAGGGTATATAGCTTACAAGGAACTGCATGAACATCATAGGGTGAAGCTGAACAAGGTATCAAAGGAGTTTCTTTAACACAGATTACTATAACCCTGCTACAATAAAGACCACACTGCTGTATGTATACCGACTCCATAGCTAAATTGAATTCCATGCTTTCTGTGGACTCCCACTGTGTAGTGATTCCACAGAGGAATAGAGTAGCAGTGAAGCTGTTGTTTAATGTATTGTGTGCAGTGAGAAATGTTGGATATATTCTCATTTGGGCATGTACATCCCCTCTAGATATGGTGGTAGGCTGCAAAATAAATTACCAATAAGTACATTTCATCATACATGAATTTAAGCAAGTGTGCATAGTAGCTTTCTTATTATCATTAGCATGGGAGAATAATCTGCTAGCCTAATTGTGAGCTTATTCAAAAGAGAGAATTCACTGTGTATCCCTTTTTGTCCCAAGCAGAGGAGTGGAGGGAATCAAGAGGAAGAGCACTGATCCATATGCATGGTCAGATATGGCTTAATTGCAGCATAGGGGTGCACTGGGATCAGATGGTATGGACTAAAGACTATCAATATGAGGCACCCATCCCCAGTATGTGCTAAAACAGGAGATGTGTGGAGTGCCAGCCAGACAGGCGGGGGGCTGGTAGAGAGCCTGAATCACAGCGGTGAAGCAGAGGTAAATTCTGCCTCAGAGGATCAACACAGTCTCCAAAAGTTTCACTAAAATAAGAGGAATTCAGAGATGCAGATTATGCATTGTGGACATAAATAATGCAAGGGATACCTTACTGCACCCAGAAAGGATTATTTGAAGGTACTTGCATTTCTCACTGTGCCTTTCCGGTTACATGAAGAAAAACTGATCCTGATCTTTTTACTAAATTTACTGTATGTTAGCTGGTTGTTCATTCTATAAGGCAGAAAACAGCACAGAAACATTGGTCCGCTAGCTGGATCATTGCCTCATTCCTGGAAGGTTATGAAGGACAGTGATCATGCAACATTTTCACCTTGGGGGTAACAAAATTCCTTGGAGTAAAGTGAGCACACTCAAGCTGTTTCTCAAGAAATAAAAGGAAAGAAAGCACTAAAAAAAAAAAAAAACAACCCTACCAACCAAGAAGGGGTAAATTCTGCACATAATGTTTATGATGCTCAGTTATTTGTAAAAAGCATTCATTAGTGCAATCTGAAGAATAACGGGCACAGATTCCATGGTAGAAGGGGAAAACATAGAAAAACAGAAAACAGCAACATGTGTTACTTATCATGAGTCAGACAGGGATAAGGGTCCACTTAGGCCTCCCTTTCTTTGTAGGGGTGGTCGAAATGGAAGGCGCCCTATTGCTTTACCAGCTTAAGGTGTCAGCATGCCCTTAAAACTCCCAGGGGCCCTTTATCACCGTGTTCAGACTCCATAAAATGCTGCTTATTACACTAAATCTGTCATGTGCTTTAATATGGATCACTATTTGATCCCCCTCCATCAATCACAAAAACACCACGGCAAAGTCAGTGGCATAAGAGCCTAGGATGAATTTCAGCTGTCCAACTTTCTCAACACTGATGGCTTTTCTCATCAATATTGATGTCTAAGATTTTATTGTGCTTGTTGAGCATTTGCTCTTTTTCTGCTCCAGCTTCCAAAAAGTTACAAAGGTCGGTTGAGACTGCAGGACACAGGACTTCTGTTTTACACTAAAATTAATTTGGTTCCTCTGTGAAACATTTGACACAGAATTGCCTGCAGTAGGAAGGCGGGATGGATGTAGGATAAATTGCAATGCCCACAGGAGAGCAGTGTAAAGCGGACAGATCGATGCCAGAGAAGAAGCCCCAGGCAAAATACAACAAAGGGGGACACAGCAGAGGCGTCCTGGTAGCTTGGCAGTTTAGGGCATGTACCACGTGGTCGGTCCATGGTGGGATTGAGCCCAGTTTTATACCCTTTCCTTGTTTAATGCTCTGGCATCTCCTCTGCAAAATCATGCCATGAAACTAACCTCAAAGGTGCCACATGTAGCAGTTTTTACATTTTGAAAACATTACAAGCATAAAAAAATTACTTCCAATACCTTGGTATGAACAAATTGTCAGAAAGACTGGCAGCTTCTCATGCATTTGTCTTTGTTCTTTGGCTGTATTTTGGAGGACATACGCGTTGGACATGATTTTTTCCATTGGCCATTGCGAGATGATCTAAAAGATTTTCGCTCCATTCGTACTGGAAGAGCAGTGCTCTTTTCCTGTTTTTCTGCCATACAGAAATCCAGCAAATTTCCTCCAAAATCCAACAAGATGAAAGACACAAAAATGCTGTGTAGAGACTCAAAAAGGCATCACATTCTCTCCATCGTGATCTTGTTTACAAGTTTCTGAATGTGCAAGATATTGATTATTATTATTACGTAAGGAATAACTTAATTTTCCTGCTTGTGCCTTTTACTTTATTCACTCAACATGTATAACAGCGCTATACTCAGACATTCAGTATATCCCTTCAAGTGCTGACACTGACAGCCTTGGACACTGTCATCTGGCTTTGGTTTTCATTCCTGACCTTCATCCCATATCACAGCTTCTCTCTGTTTACCATCTTCCCTGTCACTCTAGACAGTACGGCATCAAATAGAGCAAAAAATGCTGTAAAAGAAAAAAGAGTGACCTGAAGACTGAGTTCCACTGCTTATCTTCAGATTGCATGTGACAGTTGTCCCTCATCCTACGACAGCTTGAGTTTCTCTCCCGGAGCGATGGTAATGCCGCCGCCGAAGACCGAAAAAAAAAGGCAACACCTGACGTGCTAAAATGAGTGAACCTTTTAGCAGCACCTCAATCCGTGAGGATTACATATATGATGTATATAGCTAATGAGGAAATTGGCTATTTGGGGAGCAGCCAGAGGAGATATAAGCAGGAATGCAGTGAAGCAGGTTCTTTAAAAGATGATTTTAAAGCCTGTAACAGAAGATAGAGCTTCTATTATTCTGACTGGAGTTGGAAGGTCACTCCACCACTGGGTAACACCAAAATGGCAAAGATTAACTGATGCCGAGGTCATGACTCAAAGGTCTGATACCAAGATAAAGTTAATGCAGACAAAAGCTACCCTTTACAAACGCCATCCACTTTAGCTTATGCCCTGTGATGACAAAAAAAGAACAGCTGTTACATAAAACATAACACAACCACTTCCTCCAAAAAACTTGCTCCATGAAAGAAGCCTATTTTTGAGTGTGTAAACAAAAATGTAATTAATGGGAAAATAGGACTTTTCACAGACATTTGATCCCTCTATATGGCAAGCCAGACGATTAATTTGCCAGGGTAGATTCGTAGCTTCAAAAGTTGAGTTCCAATATTGTGACTTAATTAAAAAGGCCCTATTAAATCTGTATATGTGGGTGTAAAAACAAGTCAAACACAAGCATTTATAGTGCAGAGAATGGCAATGTAGGGTACAGGATGGTGAAAAATGTATCCCTAATTCACAAAAAGCTTCCATAATTCATTCATACTGCAAAAAATTCTCCAATGATTTATCATAATTATTATAAAATATGTGTAATTTGGTGGTGCTCTTATGCATCTTTTATTCTGATTTATTTACTTAATTTACCTCTTAAGAGTGGAAGTGAAACAAAATAACAAGTGACAAAATTGCAAGAGTTTTACTCCTTTTGACGTGTTCATCGTGCGGCATTAAATACGCCTCAACACTCATGCAATCATTCTGACCTGTGAGGTTGCGCAGGCCCAGCTGCCTCAGGCCATAGTACCCGTCCCTCCTGTAGTTGAGAAAGATGGCCAAAGAATAGCGTTCCTCGTACAGTTTGGTGCCGCGGATGATCCGTAGATTCTCCAGCGGCAGGTAGTCGAACTGGTTGAGAGCCACCAACACGTAGCCGGTCACTTCTCTGATTGACTGCAAGGGGAAAAAATACCAGAAGCATATTTAATGTTATTGATCAAATTTGATGGCATTCTATGATGAAAACAGTAATGACAATTCAATTTTATATTTCATTTTCTTGAGCAATGTCGAGACAATATCAGCCCAGTATCCCCATGTATATTGTACATTCTGCACTTAACAATTTACCTCCAATATTAGTGTCCCATGCCACTGTAAATAATAGTGTACTTTTATGCAGGAGATTGAGTTTGAGTCCCATAACAGACCTATAATTGTGTTTATTTGCCTTTTTATTAACTGTAACCACAATCTTTTCCTAAAATTAACCACTTTGCTGTAGATGCAAAGTGCAAATACTGGCATAAACCAAATGTAACCTGGGGTTTTGCAGAATTGTACTGTATGGATGTTTTTTGTCTGGTAATAGAGTTGAGAAAAGGATAGGTCACCATCTGATTTAGGAAATTAAAACAAAATCCCCAAACTCTTCGTTAAAAATGATTGTAAGAGCACTTAAGTCACTAATCTAAGAAGTTGTTGGGGATTAACACAAGTGAGTACATTATTTACCACCCTGACATCCACATCTCAACTCATCTCTTTATTTGCAGTTTTCCCAAACTTTTTTTCAGCCATATCTGACTCATGGAAAACATTTCATGTGATAATGCATTCCTCACATTTTCAGTACACAGAGCATGTTATTTGCATTTTGAAATGTCAAGCTCATGAAAACTTTGGACATACAGCCTAAAATGATTAAAATGTCAGCTCAATTGCAGACTTATTACACTGATTACAATCTCTCAACTGCTCTTTAGGTCTCGAGAAGCCATGATACTATAGCAAGTATGATGTTCGTACAGGGCCAATAAGCGATTTAAAGGTGCCTTTAACAGTGACTGTATTCGACTGATTTGATTTTATAGCCTATATGTTAAAGGAATCATATGGAACTGCTCAGTCAGGTGTCATTTAATACCTCAGAGACCTAAAACTAAAAGAAGAAAATAATTTGGCATTGGTTCAAGCTAATAGGCCTTGGCTGAATGCCCAAGTCAGGCACACTGACTAATATGTGTGTCTGAGTGCCTTGCTGAACAGCATGGCAGACCATAACTATCTGCCTCATCGTGCATCAATTGACCTTCTCAAAAGTAAAAAAAAAAAAAAAAAAAGCTGATTACCTCTGTGTTATGCACTTGATGAGGCAAATTAATTCGGCTGCAGAGTCAAGCTGAAGGATGGGGCCAAGGCGAGCACTTTGAATTTTTGAATATTTTTATCATAATTCTACGGAAAAATTAAGAAAAAAAAATTGAGGGTTGAAGGTCAACGAGACACAGTTATCACATAAACAGATAACAGACCCATAGAAAAAAATAGTTTTTGAAAAAAACCTCCTCAGGCTGACAGATCAATACATTTGGCAGCATCTACACATACAGCATCATTGCCAGATAAACTTAGCCTGATGTGGATATGTGCACGCACTGTATGTGTGTGTCGTCCCTTGTTGCAACAACTCCATCTCTGTGGCCATGCAATATTCATATAAGTCACTCAAACAGCAGCTTACTAATACACACACAGAAAAACCCGCAAACACACATACAACAGCTGTTGAATGCCACGCTAACACATTTTACCGACCACCGCTGACAAGCCTAATTAGAACACAACATTCAAAAGTGGAGGGGGGGGGGGGCAGATCTGCTTATAAGGTTCAACACTGACTTGTACAATGGAGGCCTAGTTTGCAGCAGTTGGCAGGCACACATTTTATTCCTGTGGCATTTTGTTTTCTTTTTTGGGAATCGACCCCTCTTTTTCTTTCTTGAAATGTGGTATACAAAGCCATGTGTTTTCACATGGGAGACGGGGGCATCACCTAGAGGATGTAAAAATTGCAGAGATTACCCCATATAGCTCTGTACAGGTGCCAATGTGAGTCTAATGCAGCAAAAAGAATATGATCCCCCACTGGCTTCCCACCAGTGCACACAATAGAGCTGGGTTTAACATTTTTTATTTGGTTTATACTGAAGTCTATGAGCTCAAAGCGGCACCAAGCAACACTGACGTGCCTCCAAACTCTTACTGATAATTAAATAATAATATCTAATTTATGGGCATTCTTAATATCCAGCAACAGGGCAGGGAAAGGCTTCTGAAGAAATGAGAAGCTATAGAGACATCCTAATGGCCAGAGACAGGCCAGATGATTGGTTAGGAGAGAGGGTGGAAATGAGTAATGCAAGGTTTGATTGGCTGCTGACCCCTGGGAGACGCTAGTGGAGACTGACAGTTAGGACACAGCATTTGGAGTGCCTGCATTTCAGGATAATACCAGGTAACTGAGATTTGCTTCTATATTGAGCGCTCAGCAAACACGCACACCTGCCAAGTTGGCCTATTGTAACACTAACACAATGGGAAGGAAACAGACAGTGGAGGTGCTTATTAGCAAGATTACAATGTGTCAATCACCTGGTGAGAGAAAGAACAACATAATAAAAGAGCAATAGAATCCATTTCAGTGGAGGCTTTGATTAGCATACTTATTGTAAAAAGGATTTCTATTGTGAGGTACTTCGCTGCCAGTCAAAAACCCCTTGGTGAAATTATTTCCTGTCAAATATGTTTTGTGATTTTTTTTTATGTTTGTTAGAGAGTTAGCAAGTTGGGCAACTTCATGCAACTCAATACAACTTGTGACTCAGAGTCCAAAAAACAAAGCGCACAGAAAAGACTTTCTTCTCCGGGGTTCTTGTTGATCTGGCCCCTGTAGTTCGAAGTCATGCCGTTTCATCACTTTGACCCTACAGTGACCCTGTGTTTACTGCCGGGGGCCAGGGTGCCTTGTGAGCTCTCCCTGCTATCATTAACTGTGCCGTAACCCCCAGGTGCCTACCAGGGGCGATATGACTGCGACGGTGGAGGCTGATCCACAACCCGACCCAGCTGTAGGCATGCACTCGGCTGTTGGCAGACTCCACAGTACTTCCACTGTGCCCCCTTCTCTCTGCCAGCCTCCGGGACCCGCTGGCATAACCAAAGAAAAACTGTTTCCCTGTTGCTTAGCAACCGCAGGAAAGCCTTCCAGCAGGAGCGAGGGAGAGCAAAGAGGGAGAGAACAGGCAAGAAGAAGGAAAAAAAACAGACTTAGAAAGGGTTTTTTTTGTTGTAATTTACCTAATTAAATTAAAGGATTACTCTGCCATTTCTCAGTAATTTTCTTTCGCTTTGACAGTATTTAATTTCCTTCCGTTGCCATAAATTGTTTTTTCTGAAAGCTTTTTCAGATCAATATTTATCTGCATTCCTCTGTGCTGGAGAAGGGAGGAAGCAGAGAGACAAGGAGGAGGGAGGTCCGGAGGGAAGTAAACACAAGCACCTGCATTTCCCCTCCTGCCTCATCAACTGCGCTCAGTTTCAGAAACACAAACACAGAAGCTGAAGGATGCTACTCAGAGAAGCTGCCCACCGCTGCCTTGTGGGTGATGTGCTCAGAATTAACAAGGTGGACAGTGAGCAGAGAAACTGATGTTTTCTCCCTTGTATTCTCTCAAAAAAATACACTCTTAAGAAGGTGAGTGGGAGGGCTAATTTGTACGAACAAGGTGCATGAACCCTCGATTGCTCACACACACACACACACACACACACACACACACACACACACACACACACACACACACACACACACACACACACACACACACACACACACCTTGTCTCCTTCCTTCCTCCTTTAAAATGAACTTTAGCTTGTGAGTTTAGAGCTCAGTGATTAAAGTGGTTAAAAAAGGGAAAAAGTGAAATCCTTACACAGCCTGGCCAAAGTCCAGGTCATTATTTTAGATACCATTTTGACTGAATCTTTTGATTCCAGCTTGACTCTGCCAGATCAGAGTGTTTTTCTTTTGTGAGAGCCACAAAGGGTTTGTGAGGAATTTTTCCTTCTTCTCTTGTTACACACATTTATCTCAACACACACACACACACACACACACACACACACACACACACAGGCCTCAGATATACTGATAACCCTCACCTACGCAGGAAAAAAAAAGCACGGCCACAAGGCACAGACAAGACTTGATTGGCAAAGGTCAACTACCCATGATGCATTGCACATTAAATGTTTCCTTTAGCACTTTTCTCCATCAATTGCATGCAATTAGTGGCCTATTGTGGAGTGCTCCGTCAAACAAAATCCTATGTGGCCCCGACAGACTTGTTTCCTCTCTTCTTTTGGTTTTGACCTCTGGGTGAAATGTAAATTTCACATGTTGGTAAATTGCTCTTTGCATCTCTGGGAGACACAGCACTGAAGCAAAGGCAGGGGAGCCAAAACTGCTTTATTTACTCCACACAACATAATCATGATAGAATGCGGCTGTGCTGTCTTGGAAACAGAAACCGCTCGATACAAGGCTACGAGTTGCAGCACTCCGGCATGTATCCCCTCCAGGTACGTGGACATGTTTTTTCACAGTATAGAGACTCACATGGCACTTCGCAGTACGTCTGACTTGGAAGGACTATTTGTATTCAAGACAGTATTGAAATAAACCAACAAATTCCCTTGCAAAGTAAACAATTTTATCAGTTAATGAATCAGCCAGTGTGCACGCTTGTCTGTTTCGTGTTATAACTCAGCAACAGTTGGTAAAAAGAGAGGAGACGCATAAAAGGTGAACACTAAAGCGGGATTAAAGATAAAAACTATTGGCTCACCAGCATTCGGGAACCTCCAATTACAGCTCAAATATGACTTAAAAACTGTATGATGTTTTTAAGCTAATAGCCTGTATCTCTACTATATATTTTTTTCATTCAACTTACTTTGCAGATACTCAGGAAACCTTGCAAACACAGCCATTAGATTTGCATACAAATTTCTCCAGTTTCAGTCTTCACAAGAATCGCCTTTGGGCTTCACTCCAGATTTAGCTAAAAACGCTGCATTAGAGAATTTAACAGGAAGAATTGAGAGAGCT